CTCTTGGTGTTTAATAACGTGAACTGCTTCAGCGTATCAAGGCCTCTTCTATTAAGGATGCCACCCCAACCCCTCTGCTTTCCTAAGGTAATGTAGAAAAATAAAATCTCAAATACCATTCTCCATGGAAATGGAAGTTTCTCTAACTCAGAGAACTTCCAGGCAAGTTGGAGAGATTGTTTGGAGCATATACACAAACTATATGTGTGTGTGTGTGTGTAGATAGATAGATAGACAGATAGATGTATACACACACACACACACACACACACACACACACACACAGGGGGAGAGAGAGAGAGAGGATAACTGTAGGAAGTGTCCGGAGTGGCTGAGCCGAAGACAAGTGACTTCGCTTCCACGCGCTATAACGCCCCCGGGCTCCCTCCTCTGCCCTCAGCACGCGGGGCGCAGGAGCGGGCCTGGAAGTTGTTTCTCTCTTGGGAAGGACTCGGTTAGGCCTTAGGAGGGAGGGGCCTGGGCCTGAGAGGAGACCTGAAACAGGGCAGGGTTCAGCCCGCCTCACTCGCTCTGTGGTCTCCGGAGAATGCGGCCACCTCAGGAATGAGGGGCCTCCAGTCCCAGCCTGGAAACAGAAGAATGGACAAGCTGTCAGAGCCCCCTCCCCACCCCTGCCTCCCCCCAGAGCAGGAAACCATTTGGTCGCAGGTCCTGCGACTCTGGGAGAGTTCTGATCAATACTGGAGGGGCGTGGGGCCGGAAGAGCGAGGGGAGAGGGAGCTAGCTCCAGACCCCACGTCTCCTTAGTAACCGAGGCTCAGAAATCCCCATTTGGGCCTCTCCTCACCTTCATCCAGTTCACAAATGTTTACTGAGCACTTACTACATGCCAGGAACTTCTAGGTGCTGGCTTTCTTTTCTTTTAAGAGGTTCATGGTCGAGAGAGAGACAAGAAATTAATAACCATGAAGTGATGTACTATAGAGCTGTGCACAGATCGCGGGACTGCACGTGCAGAGTCAGGATGTGACATCAGGAAACAGTCAAGGTACAAGGGGCTGGCAAGGGAAAACCAACCCCAAACTAAACTCTTGAGAGCACAACACTTGTACCAGGCGAGTCAGCTAAAGAGATACAGTGAAGTAGGAGACACACTCACGATGGCAGGAAGGGGCTTCAATTTGATTTATTGACTTGGATGTAGGGCTTTGGCCCCACCTGTTCAGACAGGTGTGTTCTGTACTACCTGGTGAGTGGATGCAGAGAGAATGCCTCGTCCTTCCCCTTCCCCCTGGGGGGTGAGACTTTACCCTCTCTCAAGGGGCCACAGTGACTCCAGACCATCAGCTCTCTTTTGCTGCCTGCCTGTGTCCTCTGCAGTCTGTTTTCTAAGAAGGTATTTTTATGAGGAAGTGGTGATAGGAAAAGAAATTACCCCTAATTCTAACCCAGGAGACCACTAAGAACAAATATAAACCTCTTTTACGTGGCGCATCTCAAGCACCTGAAAACAGCTTTCATATCCCTCCCTGGACTCCCCGGTCATCACTTCTCCGGACTAAACAGCCCCAGTTTCTTAATCCTTTCTCGGAGTGACTTATTTTCAAGTCCACTCACCATTCTGATCACTTTATCTCACTTTCAGACTTGTACTGACCCCTTTTAAAATACAAAGTCCATAACTGAACATAAGAAACCAAGTATAACCTGAGCAGTACAGAGTAGAAATATCACCTCCTTTGTTTTCCATCTCATATTTCTAGTAATACAACCAAAGATAGAGTTTGCTCCTTTGGCAGCCACATCACAACAGTGAGTTCCATAAAGCTTACTAAAAGCTCAAACTGTAAGTTGTTTTTGTTTTCTATTTGCACTGCTGTTAAACCACATCTTCCCCATCCTATATTAGTGCAATTATTTTCTGGGCCAAAGTACAGAACTAGACAGTGACAGATGAATTAGCATGTATTCCTTCTGGCTCCAGGCTCTGAGAAATCTCTCAGGAAGAGGTCCTCCTGGTTCCTCAATATGTGAGCAGAGCTGGAGGCCCAGGACCAGTGGACAGCTGATAACGAAGGCTCCAGTCTACAGGCAGCCCAAGGGGGGCTCCCCCACCTCCAGACATAGACCCTGATGTCCCCAGGAGATTCCTGGGAGTAAGCTGTCTCTGTGTCACACTGTCCTCCCTATATCCTGCTAAGAGGTCAGCCTACTCCAAATGTTGCACAGCGGGGCTCTTGGAAACCTCAGTGCTTCCTCCTTTGCTGCTCCTCCCCAGCAGAAAGAATTCCAGTTGATTCCACAGACCTTGACAGAGGACCTGAGGCACAGCGTGAAACGTGGAGGAGGAGCTGTGACAGATGAGCGCATAACCAGAGTCTAGTCAGGAGGGACTGGTGGGTAAATCTAGTGCTAATCAGGTGCTAGAACCCTCGGGAACATTTGCTGTCTTTTCCCTGTTTCCTCAAACGCCAAAGGCGTGACAGTCAGGTATGAATCTAGAGAGCAGAGCAGAGGGAGCGGCCCTGTGTTTCCAGGACCCAGAGAGGCAGATAGGGACCAAAGATCCTTCACAGCACAGCAGCCCCGCCTCAGGCACGCTGAAGGGAGGAGGAGTGAGGATCAGGGATGCACAGTACATCAATCCACCGTGGGATGCCCTGGGCTGGAGAAAGAGCGCAAACGCCATTAGGATGGCCAGCTCCAGCCCAGCCACCCCGCCCTCCCTGCTCCATCCTCCTCTGCCCACAAACCCTCTCTGGGCAACCCTTGAAAGAGTCTGGGCAATGCCTCTTAGAGATTTGGAACTAGAAAGGGGGGGGGAAGGGAGGTCCACCTGGGGCTTCTGCCTCTCCAGCTATCTTTGGAACAAAGAGCCAGACCGAGGAGTGAGGGCAGGCGACGCTTCCAGCAAAGCCACCCTGATGCACTTCCCACCCCCTTCTAGACCCGCCATACAAACCAGGGTCCAGCCAGTCCCCAGAGCATCCTCCTGGCCCCTGATGAATCAAGCTGAGGGGAGGCCAGATAGCACTACTACCAATACGGGCAGGTGAGACTTTCCCGGCCGTGTCATGTGGGTTGTAATTTGTTTCCATTTTTCCAAACAAATGTAGAGGTCAAGGATGGGCCGGGAGAGGGAAGAATTTGTGTGTGTTTGGCCCTAGGCCCCCCTCTTCCCGTCACCCCACATCTGGGACTGTTTTACCCCTCAGCAGACGGTCGCCTGCCTCCAGTCCTACGGGGACCAGGGCGAGCTTCTGAACCGGAGCGTGAGGGCTCCTTCCTCAGGCTTTTCATCCAAGCCAGGTCTTAATCAACTCCTTGGCCCAGCTCATCTTTTCAGAGCCAGCTCAGATGTCACCTTCTCCGAGGGACCTCCCCTGAACCCCACAAAGTTGGCAGCTTCCTTTTAGGGGGTATTCACCATGTTTTCCTCATTGGCCTGTTTTTTTTCATCTGTCCGTGTATGTGTGTTTCTGGGTTGGGAGTTCCTCACTCACCTGGTACAGAGTTGATGCTGTCTTGGAGAGAGACAGGGAGGGAGGGCTGGATGGACAAGGGCACAGGTCTCTAACCCACAGGTATGTGTGTGTCATCTCACCTGGGGACTGCCTTCTCCCCTACATCACTAGTTGGGGGAACGGAAGAGCTGAGCTCTGATGAGGCAAACGGGGTCCAGCTGGCTGATGGTCTGGGGGAGGAGGCCATATACTTAAGAAAGCTACCATTTGGAAAGCCTCCCGCCCCTCATCTCCAGGGAAGCCTTTTTCTTTTCCAGAAGCAGTGTGGAATGCTCCAGACAAATGCAGGGCCCTCCAGAGCCGGGGAAGGCAGCATGGGATGTCTGCTGCAAAGAGCCCTTTAATGGAGGCGGATAGATCCAGGTAGATTCCAATCTCCGCCCTACGCTGGCTGTGTGAACTCGAGACAGAAATTCTCAGAACCTCAGTTTTCCCATCTGTTTGGTAAGAGGTTTGGATTGGCTGATTTCTAAAGAGATGGTAAACACACAGAATTCGGGGTCTGTGCGGGGCCGTGGGGCAGGACTGCACCATGATATACCATAGGTGGGGTTCTTTCATGCTCTTTCTTTAGTGGGCGAAGGGAGGGATCCACTTTCTCTGCACAGCAGATTTGCCTTGAGAACGAGTGGCAGTCAGGCCAGGACTCTGGGCAAAATATACCACATCTGAGGACACTTCAACTGTCCTTGCCATCCTGGTGAGGCAAGAGGGAGAGCTGGGGAGAGGGGAGGGAGAGGGAAAGGGGAGGGAAGGTGGGGGAGGGGAGGGCAGGGGTGGGGCCACGGTGGAGCAGGGGGAGAGGGAATTGAAATAATCAGTAGCTGACAGACCAGCCTCTTAATGGTTCCTAATGAGTTTTCTGGCTCTGTCTCTATTTCCTTTTGGCTCTTCCCAGCATCCCCTCACCCGGTAGTCTTTTCCTCACCCCCTAAAATGGAAGAGAAGCAGGTTGCAAAACCTCTTGGATTTCAGAAGCTGCCTGCTCATCACTAGGGGAGCAGCAAACTCACTCTGGACTAAATGCCAGGAGAACCCACCAGGTGGGCCTCTGCTGGGACCCAAGGGGCCCTTGATGGTCTGGGGGACCTCTACTGGATTCCTGAAGTTTACTGCGTAGAGCTGGGACCTGGGGACATGGCTAAAACCCCCAGAGTCCATCCCATCTCACCACACACACACACACACACACAGCCTCTCCTAGCTGAGATGAGATCTGAGCATTCCCTTTCTTCCTTCCCCAGGTCTCTGGGAGGAGGAGCCAGGGCCTTCAGGGACAACGCTCAACTCACCTGAGACTCCCCAGGGATAGAGACCTCCCCTCCCTTTTCTGGTGCTTACAGAACAATAAGAAAGTAAGGCTAGGTGCTGAAGGGCCTCGCCCGCCATTCAGGGCCCCAGGGGTGTGGGTGCCGAGAGGCGGGGCCAGCAGCCCAGGCCCTCTCCCCATTGGTCGGGCTCCGCAGGTAACCCGAAGCTCTGCGGGGAGGCGCATAAATAAAGTGGGGAACCAGTACCACCTCCTTGAAAGTGGCTGAGTCCTTCTTCCTGACCCGGGCCTTGGAAAAACCAGCTTCTCTCTCTTTTATTGTCTGTTCCCAACTTCTGTTCTGGAAGTTCCACTGAGCACCCCCGTACTCCCCACTCATCCTTTCCAGCTAACTCTGCTCCCCTCTACTCTGATTCCACTTTCTCCTGCCTTCACACTCTTTTTTAATCAAAGAGAGAATGGCTCTTCTGGACCGGCCCCCAGCTCCCCTTGGGAACCATTTGTGTTCTGCACGGCCTGCTCAGCTGGACGCTTTATACAGTAAGTGCTTCTCATTTCTTCCTCCTTGTCCTCAAGTCTCAGGAGTGAAAGAACATTCCAAGACTTGGAATTCCTTTCCTGCCTCTCCTAGGCCTGTCTCTAGCCATCTCTTTGTTCTGAATGATCTTATGAAAAAACCTCTGTTTTACTCGGAATCAAGCCCAAAGCAGGCCCTACTCTCTGAAGGTACAGACACAGGTAGTTGCAGGCGAGTCTGAAATCTCCGGACCTGGGGTGGGGCGGAGCGGGTCGGGGGAGGCTTTGTGAAACCGAAGCCGCGAGGCTACATCGGGAGGATCATTGGGCAATCAGAGGAGAGGGTGAGCTGTGGAAAAAGCCACATTCACTGGAAATCGGTCATCAACTTCCTCCAAAGCTAAAATAACTGACCCTGGCTGCGTATGTGCCAAATCCCCAGCCAGGTCTGTGTTTTCTCGGGGACGCCCAGTGATTCCAGGCAATAAATCTGACTGATCATGGGAATCGGTGTGGTAAGGTGAGTGCTGAGCAGTTAAGTACCAAGACTGCAGCTCTGTCTGGTTTCGTGGAAATTTACCCAACAAGAGGGACAGGCGGTTGGCTGGCTTTTCAGTCCTGGGCTGGAGGATGCAGCTCTAGCAGGCGATTCAGGATGTGGTTCCATTCTTCCGTTCTCATGTCCAGGTTGGTTTTATTGGGAAGTCATTTAAGGCCCAGTCCTGAGGGCAGGTGGGGGCACAGGAGAGCAGTGCATGAACTTCCTCTATAGCCAAGTGCACGTGTGGTTTGCTTCTCTGGCCAAACCCCACACTGCGAGTGGCCAAGGCACAGGCCACTGGGCCATCAGGTTGATGAAGGCACGGTGGGCAGAAGAATCTTGAACTTGAGGTAAGGGGCCCAGCGTGGGTCAAGTCTCCTAGCACAGGTTCTGGCCGATCTTTTCCTGTTTCTGTCTTATAACAGCTGCAGGGCCGTGGGGCGAGGGGAGGGTGAAAAGGGAAGGGCCTGCCTTTGCCGGACTCTCTAAAATCAGCGCCACCTCCTATGTGCATGGCCTTTCACAGTTAAAGTGCTCTTACAGCCCATGTCATCTCTGAAGGATCCACCCTGGAAGTTAAGGACCCCACATGAGGGTGATGCGCCCTGCACACTCAGATTGAGGATTTAAAGAATCTGGCAGAGCGTTCATGTTAGGAGGGTAAGAGTGGGCTCAGGAGGGTCTGCAGGGAGAGGAATTGTCCCTTTTGCTCTGAGTTGAGCTGAAACCAAGAGAGGAAGCAAAAACTCCTTCCATCCTTCCATCCCAGAACTGTTTCCTCCCATCATCCCTGCCATTCTTGAACAGAGCCAAACATGTTGGTCTCGTTCTTCCATTTCTGGCTGTGAAATGGTTCAGAGGCAGTGCAGGGGAATATATAGTTTAGGTCATTCACAGGCAGGGCGCATTTCTTTCTTATGATGGAGAACTGGGAATACTTACCAAAAAAGCTGATGGGGATAGGAAAGGATGGGCCAGCCTCCACCCCATCAGTACCTCAACCCCTGCCCCCAGCACACCCTGTGTTCACACTGACCAGGGAAGTGGGGCTCTGCCCCAGCAATGCCTGGAGCCCCCAGCCCTTGTGGAAGAGCCTTTTACAGAAGCCCAGTGCCCAGGGGGTTGGATGCAGGGGGGTGGGGAGAAGCCACATTATAAGCTACTGCCTCCCTGCTTCGGGTCAGAACAAGCCCCAGGAAGAAAGGATTCCAAACAACAGGGCGGATCTGCCCGAACTCACCCCGTCTGCGTGTCGCTGCTGAGAACTGCCTTTTACGGGGCTTACGCTGAGCCCGGGGCATGTCTGAACACAGCAAGGAAGGGGCGGGGCAGCAAGTACACGGCAACTGGTGGCTGGCATTTCTTTTACGAGGACAGAGAGCTCTCAGACGGTGGCCATCCTCCCTGTTTAGTTCAGTCTCTGAAAGCCAGGTTATCCCCTCCCTCCCGATACCCCCATACCCACACCCAGAGAAGACGTAGGGACGCCATTTCCCAGCAGGGATGGGAAAGGATGTGGGGCCACCAAGACAAGTCTATAGGAGGGAGACCCAGGAGGTTCACCCTCCTGCGCCCACCTTGGCCCCCGCAAGTGCACCCGGCTCCAGCCAAGGTGCTCTGCCTATTTCACACCCACAAATGGGCCGGCAGAGCCCTGCTCACTCTCTTTGGACAGTGCCTTCTGGAGAGGAAAGCCCCTGCCTCTGCCTTCCACCGCCTTGGTAAGCAAGTTCAGAGTAGATGGATTTTCCTAAAGCAATCTCAGAACACCTGCCTTCCGCAGCCAGAACCGACCACACCGAGCTGTTAAGGCAGACGCAAAAGGGACACAGACAAAGGGGGAGGACAGCCAGCATCCCAACTAGGTAAACACAGAGAAGTTTCCACATGGACTTGTGTGGGACGGCTACATCCAGGATCCCAGCCCCGCTGCGCCATCCCCACCACTCAGCGCTGTATGTGCTGCAGACACCCGGTGGCATCTTGGTGAGCGGGCTGTCACCAGCTCCTGGAAAGAAGTGAGCCTGGGGAGGGTGTGAATACTCAGATCTTTCACACCTCCCAAGTCTGTGATTCAAGAATCCTGAAAACCTTTGGCCAGGCAACGACCCTGCGCGCAGAGGCCGGGTTTGCCACGTGGCCCACCTTCTGAGAAAAAGTCCTCAGACAGTCCATGTGTTTCTCTTGTCCTTCATTCCACCGGAGTCTGTCTTATACCCAACCAGATTTCAGTGGAGTGAAGTTCAGGAGGCGTGGAGCTGACACCGGAGCAGCCCCACGACAAGCGCATCTCTGACTTGGAAAAGGAAAGACCAGTGAGGGTGTGAGAGATGGAGGCATCATCTGAAATGTGTATCCTTCTGCAGAGAGGACGGGCGGCGGGCCGACTGGAGAAAGCACCGCGATGGGAACTGCTTGTCCTCTCTCAAATGGACGTGTTTTCTGTAACTCATAAAAATTAAAAGTTGTTTGTTGGCTGGAAAGCCTGCCTCTGTGATTCATGCTGTGGGATGCGGACTCCCAGGTCTTCTAAGTTACCTCCCCTTTGGGCTAAAAAAGAGACATGAGTTTGAACAACTGACACAGGCCCCCTCTCTCCTCGGGATCTCCAGGCAGGTGGCTGGAACCCTGTTCACAGTCGGCAAGGAACCTTCCTGCCCTCAGGCTCCCCGCAGTGCCCGCAGGACCTGCAGCATGGGGTAAAAAACTCTTATCAAGATTTTTAAAACCCACTTATATTGTAATAAAATAAATGATTTTTAAAATAAATAAAAGATTTAAGTGAAGGCAGATTGCAGATATTCGAGACGGTACACAAGAGATATCTCATACAGTAGGGGTGTAAATTCTGTAAAGGTTAATGCACTTAAACATCGTTGGCACATTAAAATGTCAGGTCCAACATTAATCATTTACCAACTGTAATTGCCTTTCTCAGAGTCTCTTCTCCCCCAAGACATATGCTTAAAACACCAGACTTGGTAGAAATCTGGGAGGGAAAAAACAAATAGTACTTCTCAGCTGTCAGGGTCTGTGATTTGCTTTGATAGACTGAGCACTGATTTCATTGGCTTTACAGTCCTGTGTGACTTTCCTCCCCTCCCCCCCACATCCTTTAGGAGAGGAGGGGTTGTGGGGAGGAGGGCAGGCCCCCAAGTCCAAAGGAGATGCCCTAGTCTTTTTGTGAATTGACCCTTCCTCAGGTAAATGGGGAGCCAGTCAGAGAAAGAGGCAAACTCTGAGCAAAGCCCGGCTCCGACAAGTCTTCAGAAAATTTGATTTTCACCTCCAGAATGTGCCCCAGCCAGCAAAAGTCAACAGATGCCCTGGCCTGGCCGAGTGGTGTTTTTCTTTGTAAAAGAGACTCCAGCTTTGTGAGCGCTGCCCTGGCCAGCACTTGGGTATCCAAGCCCCCTCCCCTAGCCAGTGACCTCTGAGGGGCGGGGCTCTCCCCCCCCCCCCGGGGACTCCGCCTGTCAGGAATAAAGGGCTCTCAGTCCGCAGGAGCCAAGAGAGGTAAGCCTTTCTTCAAAATACCTTCCTGCCTGCTTCAAATTCATAGGATTTCCACACCTCTTCCCTGTCACCCTTGCCCCTTCCTTCTGAGGTCCTCGGGCAACAAAAGGGTGAAGAGGCCAAGGCGGAGGCAGGTTTTGAAAAGATGTTTACCCACAAAAGTTATGCAGGGAGTGGGGTTGGGGTCGGGGTCAGGGTACTCAGGGCTAATGAGCCAGCAAATACCTTCCATTCAAAGTTCTGAAAGAGTAGAAAGGGCCCAAAGCAGACGGGAGAGGCATTTCCATTTGCAGCTGGGGTTTGAGCCTGACAGCCTGGAATCATTTTCAAGCAAGAAAGGTGTGTGTGTTTGTGTGTGTGCATGTGTGTGTCACCATCTCCAGTGGGGGCTGGAACCAAAAACTGTCCAACACCAGCCAGGGCACAGTGCTGGGACTCCCCAGGACTCTACGTGATGAACTGTGGGGTCCCCACATCCCAGATCCTGCACTCCAACGCCATCTTCGCAGCAGGGACACAGGGCTCCGTTTCAAGCACCGAGTCGGAACTGCCCCCACCCGCTGCCAGCTTATTCCCCATTCAGAGCGCGCCTGAGCCTGGCCCCGAGCAGCCTGCCCGGGAAGCCAGCGTATGCTGTGAGCTGGAGCGAACTGCCCCATCCATCTTCCCCGTCCAACCCCCACTATTTTAGGTCCCACATCTTCACTGCAAAGCGCGGCTCGCCACAACACAACCCAGAGAAGTGATTTAATCAGAATTCCCTTGCAACAACAACAAATAATATTGCCCCGCTTGCTTTATTCGTGATCTTTTACTGAGGCGAAAGGCAAATATCGTTGAGACAAACCTGAAGCGACAAATATACCCAACCACGGGTAATTTCATATTTTGTGCTAATGGTACATACACTGTAGCTACAACCCGAGAGGAGTAAATTACAATCCTATCAATAATGCATCGCGCCCGGGCTCCTGTTTCGCAGTTCAAGAGAAAATGGGTATTGGCAAAAGGCTCTCCAAATATTAACAGCCATGCACATAATGAGGCAGTGGGAACGGAAGCTACACACTCCCCCAGGACTGTATTCTGGCCTTTGTTATCAAGATCCTTTATGGGAGAAATATCCAACGCTGAACTATCTGAAAGCTGATGCTAAATGAAGAAATCCCATTCCCATTCTTGGCAGATCTCAGGGTGAAGCTTCAATCACAGAATAACCTACAATCTGAGCCATCGTTTGCCAAATTGCTCAGTGAACTGCATCCATCTGGATGCCTTGGGTCTATGGTAAATGCCTAGGGTCTGTGGGGTTGACCTACAACGAGGGACAGGGGTCTGCAGAGAGCCCCAGTGCAGAAGGCAGTGTCAGAGAGAAAAACCACGTGGGTCTAGGGCTTCCTCTCATCCTGAGACCCTGACCCTGTGTGTGTGGTCCTCCGAAAGAAAGGGAGAAGGGACGGAGGACTGTAACAGGCAAGGAGCCACCCACCTGCAAAGACAAGAAATGTGTTCTGAAATTTTAGATGTCCCCAGTTCTTAAAAGTCAGTGGATCCAAATCCCCTGTCTCATTCCCTCAGGAGAAAGCATATGGCAACCTTACTTGAGAGTGAGGGGGAAGTATTTCCATCATGGTGATGTTAATATCATGGACGGACGAGGTTACTGTTCGCAGAAGGGCGAGTCAGTGTCACAGCCACACACTGGTTCCCGCCTTTGACCTCCCTGATGAGGGAGGTGTTGAGGAATCAGAGGGGCCAGCGGGGTCAGTGCCTTCATTATGTCTTTTTAAATCAGACTCGAGAAAAAAGAGGAGCTCACAGACGGATCAGAGGCTGTCAGGGGCTTTCAGGCAAAAGGAAGAGAAGGCAGGCAGGCAGCCTCAAGCTCAAGCTCGGAAACGTAAAGGGCTGGCCAGACACCGTTTCGTTAGTGGAAATGAAAACTTCCTAAATTGTAGGGAACTGACCAGGCTTTCTGGAGAGAGACACACAGGCATCAAAGAGAAGCCAGGCAAAAAATTCCCTTTGTCCGGAGGCAAGGAGCAGCATCCACAAGACTTGCGGCAGTCTCCTGCGCCTCTCCTCCCCACAACACCTCTGTACCCCCCTTGGATTCCTTTTTCCCCTTTTCAGGGGTGAAGAAGGCCATTTCTCTTTGATGCTTGTTAGATAGCAAGGCTGAGTGGGACACCTGGTGGGGAACAGGGGAATTACGCCCACATGGGACCTCAAGCATCACTACGGATGGGAGGAGACTTGCATATACCCTGAGATCATGGAAAAGAACAAGGCAAGCCACTCCCTGGGGTACGTGGCATTGGAGTGGGCTTTAAACAGTAGCAATTGGGTAGACACCGACCTACATTTCTGCTATGTTCAACTGTACCAGAGAAGTATTTGTGGCTAAATGTGAACAAACATAAACAAATAGAATCTATAAACTAATATATACTATCATTTGCAAAACAACTCCCTCATTATTTAAACTTTACTTAAAGTCATATTGAAGGTAAACACCATCTCAGAGGCTTCACCAGGCTGAACAGCTGGGAGAAGTTCCCCGGAAGATAATCTGTAGACGAGAAACTCTCACCAAAGATAATTGAACATGGACTGCTCAAGGCTTATAAGATTCCTTATTTGCACCCAAGTGCATGGCTGGCCCCACGCTGCAGTTTCTGAGTCAGTGTGTGAAGCGGTTAAGAGGGGTCAAATTAAATTTGGTGCTAGTGTGATCTGGCCAGGGGACTTTGGGCCAACCACTTAACCTCCCTAAGACCCAATTTCCTTGTGTATCAAGTGGAAATGATGATGGCAAGTACTTACTAAGGGCCAGATACTGTGTGCTTTGTGTATTTTAAATCATTTAATGCTCCCAATCACCTTACAAGTATGATGGGTAGTTCAGGTTTATGATAATAAAATTGAAACAGAGTGAGAGAGTAAGGGACTTGCCCAAGGCCACCCAGTTTGTGAGCAGCAGAGATGAGACCCAAACCTGGGCTCCCTGGCCCTGGAGTTCATACACGGGACTATTACTCGCTCCCGTCTCGTAGTGTTGGTGTGAGGGTTAGAAAGGATAATGCATGCAAAGCGTTCAGCAAGTGCCTGGTAGTTCTAAAGATTCAAAGATAGTATTTATTATTGTAAGCTCAGTATCAAGAAAAGCATCTTTGAGAAGCTTGTCTGGTGTTTACCATCCAGGAATAAGTAACTGTATGCACATCTCTGGCTGCCAGCAATCCAGTGCTGAATTTGCTTCACAATTTAGTCACATCCTCTATCCACTTTGGCCTCTAGAACAATTCTCTCTCTTCCTCCCATCACCTTCACGTTAGGTGCGTTTTCACGTTTTCACTTCACAGTCAGTACATGTGTTGCACTGTAGGGCCCTTGAGGGTCTTTCTTTTATTCAGAGTAGGCATGGCATAAATCAACCATAAGTCACCAAATATACAGGGTAAGTGCCATCTCAAATTTTCACTATATTTTCCCAGGGGCAAGTGGAAAGGACGAGTGAAAAAGAAACAAGTGAAGAGCCAATGGAGGAAAAAAGTTCTGGGCTCCCAAGAAAGTGGAACACTCAGGAGAAATAAATCAAGAAATAGCAAACAGATCACTGAGGAGGCTGAGATGGCTTTGAGCTCAGAACCCTGAAGCCAGTTAGGTTGAGATCTGAGGGGCAGTTTGGGGCTGAAACCCAGCCTATGCAATGTAAGTCCCATTAAAGAGACTGCAGCTCTGACCCCAGCCCGACCCTGCTGCTTCCAGCTGGAGCTCAGTCTCTGAGGATTTTTGGAGATGCAAGTGCGGCAGTCATGGTGCCCCTCAGACCTGTCGGTGCCTGGCTCTCAGGTCACCGCTCCACCTAGAGGGCCCGGCTGATCTAAGTTATGAGGGTCCCGGCTGGAGACTGCTCACCTGGTGTTTGCCAGCACCCGGGAGCATCTCACCTGCAGCTGGACAA